TCAGGGGGCTAGGGTTCAGTGGAAAGCAAACAGATATTGTTTGATTACACAAAAAAATGTATGATTATACAGTGAAGAACAGGTGTAACTATAAAGTAAGATCACGCACTCTGAGACACAGCAGTGGAATTTCATGAAATCACCCACCGGTGGAATCGAACTGAGGCTGAGGAAGGGGTGTTTGAGCTGACAGGTGAAGGATGAGTGGAGTTATCTAAGACAAATGGGTTGTGCTGGACTGGGGAGCCCGAGGAGAAAACGGTTCCAGGTGGAGGGAATAGCAGTTACAACATGCCTGAGGATCCCAAGTGCTGCCGGGCACAGAGAGAGCAGGGGAGAGTTCTAAGTGCAGGATCTACAGCAGTGCATAAAACACACACCAACAAACGCAGATCCATGCATGTCTCATGCCTGAGCATGAAAACGACTCCCAAGTCCATGCTCAGCTCAGGCCTCTCTTCAGAGATTCACACACCCATATTCACTTCTTCCACGGCTTCCTCCAACTCCAGGTATCTAAAATCAAACTCCTTACCTTTTCGTTCTGGACCTGCTCCCCTGGAGTCTCTGTCTATCCAGTCATGTACCCAGCCAGTTGTCCAATCTAGAGACCCTGGAACAATATGTAGTTTCTCCCTCTCCCTCACTCCTAAATCTGAGCAGTACCCAGTTTCTTACCGCTTCTGAAACAGTTCTCACATTTGTCCCCTCATCTAGGTCCCACATGCCCTGCCAAATGAGGTTGGCCCTCACTCTTTCCCACCTGGACTGCTCTAAGAACTACCTTTATTGAAGCCCAGGTCTATACCGTCTCCATTAAAGCCCTCCTCTACGGGGTTGCTGAACAGCCGTTCTAAAATGCATATCCAGCCATGTGACTCTTCAGTGACCCCAAGCTCCTTAGCATGCCATTCAGAGCTCCTGAGATTGTTTTCTACCTGCCTGTCCAGTTCTTCTCCTCCCCGCTGTGCTTCCTTTCATACACAGCAAGAGAGTGGCCTGTAGTTACCATTCCTCAAGCCTGGGAGGTCCTTCCTGGGACTCTTCCCCCATCCAGCTCCCGCTTATCCTATTAGACTATGTTCATGTGCCGTTTCGTCCACGAAACGTTTCCTCATCCTCCACCTCCTCCCGCAGGAGTAAGCAGGTGGTTTCCAAAGCGTCGTCCTTTTTACATGCTGCCTTTGAATTTCCTCCTTTATGCTGGAATTGCCTGTCTTCCTTATACTCTGAAAGGAGGAACTAGGCTGGGTGCAGTGGCTCACGCGTATAATCCCAGCACTCTGGGAGGCCAAGGTGGGAGGGTTGCTTGAACCCAGGAGTTTGAGACAAGCCATGGCAACAGAGTGAAAAACCTAACTTTACAAAAAAAAAAAAAAAAAGAAAAAGAAAAAAGCTGGGCGTGGTGGCACGTGCCTGCAGTCCGAGCTACTTGGGAGGCTAAGGTAGGAGGATCTCTGGGGAGGTCAAAGCTGCAATGTGCTGTGATGAAGCCACTGCACTCCAGCCTGGGCGACAGAGCCTGACCTTCTCTCTTGAAAGAAAAAAAAAAAAAGAATGTAAGAACTGTGACTTAGTTGTGTGTATCCTTAGTGCCCATATCTGGCACAAAGAAGGCAGGCATTAATATGTGTTTGGGATGTGTGCTGAATGTGTACTATTTAGAAATACTTTTCTGTTGGGGACATTTTAAGAACGTAGTGGGTAATTTTCCTTTCCTTTACATGTGGCTTTCTGTGGAGAGAGGTTATTATTTGCAGGGAAAAAAGTATGATATGTGAGATGTGAGACTCACTATGAAAGTACTTTGATATCTGTAACTCAATTCAATATGCTGGAATGGAAATCATCTTTTACAAATATCTCAAATGTAATCACAGCAAAAAAAAAAATATCCCAAGCAAGGTGGTCACTGATGATTTTAAATTCTAAAAGTTTGGTCTCACGGATGGACTAACACAGTGTTGAATTGGGCATCTCCGTCTTGACAGTGACATGTACACAATGTATTCTGTCTTCTAGTTTTTTTCCACTTATTTTCCTACAACAAAGGATGGAAATATTTACAACTCAGAACATACGTATATTTGGAATAGTTCGTTCATTCTTTTTTTTTTTTTCTACTTTGAAAAAATGTGCTTTGATCTTCAGTGAGCCCCACGCAGGTCCTTTAAATGCAGCACCTGATGGAGAAGACACATAAGCCCTGGCTACTGTAACCGAAGCTGTGAGCCCTGAGAGCCGCTGGCCTTCCCGGCTTCTGTCAACCCGCCTGCCCACGTGTGTGAGGGGCTCCGTTGTGAATGCCGGTGTTTTGTGAAAGCGCCTTGGAGGTTTTGTTTTCGTATCTAAACACTCGCTTCTCAGTGTTCTTGCCAACGGCTGTAAAATTCTTTCATCACTTAGTGAGGGCGATTTTTCTTTCTTGTTGCTTTTGCAGCTTTTCCTGCTAAAGCTCTTAAACAGTTAAGGAAGACCTCCCACACACCAGAAAGGATGATTTTTGTCTCTGGATTGATTTAGTTAAAATCCTCCCAATTTCCCGTTGATTTGGGTCAACATTGGAGGTGTAGTGGATGCTGCAGCGTGGGGCCCAGGTCCCAATGTGACTCCGGGCTGCCAGGAGCCTTGGCTGGTGGCAGCTTAGCTGAAGCGCTCCTGGAGAACTGCCCTCAGCTGTGGAAACCACCTGACACAGGCATGACCTCTCCAGGGCCCACTGTGAGTGGGAAGTTGGGGCTACTCTGAAGGGCCATCCCCGCTCCGGGACTCCCCGCAACCCCCCTTCTTTCTCTGCCTCGTTCCCTTGGGTTCTGCTGCGGTGAGCACTCCCCAGACACCCTCACCCACGTGCTCAAACACCCAGAGGCTCTCCAGGCAATCCGACCTGAGACATAGGAATTCAACGATGAATAAGTCCAGGGGAAAGACTGCTGTGTGAGTCCGGACTCTTCAGAGACACAGAACCAACAGGACCGATAGCATGGATATTTATGAAATAAGGACTGGCTCCCATGACGGTGGAGTCTGCTGTCAGCAAGCTGCAGGCCCTGGGGAGTCGGGGTGTAGTTCCAGGCGGAGTCTAAGGCCCAAAAACCAGGACAGCCAATGGGGTGCGCTCCAGTCCGATTCCTAATCCAAGGGCAGGAGAAAACCAGCGTTCGGGTTTGAAAACAGTCAGGCAGAGACAGCGAATTTCCCCTTACTCTGCCTTTTGTTTCGACCAGTTCTCCAACAGACTGGATGAGGCTAGCTCATATGGGGGGGGGGCAGTTTGCTTTACCCAGTTTATAATACAAATGCTGTTTCATTCAGAAATAGCCTCACAGATACACCCAGATTAATGTTTAACCAAATACCTGAGCACCTGCTGGACCCGTGAAATTGACCCGTAATATTAACCATTACAACTGGTCTTTTCAATAGATAGTACTGGAATCCAAGGACATCTGAATATTTTGGACCTGCTGTTATACCGTTTATAAAAATAAAATACAAATGAATCATAGCCCTCAACATAAGGGCTAGGAGTATAAAACTCATCATAGAAAATAGGAGTTTGTGACTTTGGGTGAGAAGATATTTTCTTAAAAATGACACCAAAAGCATAAGCAAGAAAAGAAAAAAAGTTAAATTGGATTTCATTAAAATTAACACATTTGTTCATCAGAGGATACCGCCAGTAAAGGGAGAAAGCAAGCCACAAAACAGGAGAAGATATTTGCAAATCATTTCTGACAAGAGATTGAAATCCAGAATATCTAGAAAACACAACTTGGTAATAAAAAGACAATCTACTGGAAAAGGATCTCACGCCTGTAATCCCAGCACTTTGGGAGGCTGAGGTGGGTGGATCACTAGAGGTCAGGAGTTCAAGACCAGCATGGCCAACATGGTGAAACCCTGTCTCTACTAAAAATACAAAAATTATTAGCCAGACATGGTGTTACACACCTGTAGTCCCAGCTACTTGGGAGGCTGAGGCAGGAGAATCGCTTGGATCTGGGAGGCGCAGGCTGAAGTGAGTGGAGCTCGTGCTACTGCACTCCAGCCAGGGTGACAGAGCCAGACTCGGTTTCCAAAAAAAAAAAAGAAAAGAAAAAAAATATTATAATGGAACTGAAAATTCCTATTGCCTAGTGATATCAGAATCATAGCCCTCAACATAAGGTCTAGGAATATAAAACTCATCAAAGAAAATATGGAGTTTGTGACTTTGGGTGAGAATATATCTTCTTAAAAATGACTCCAAAAACATAGGCAAGAAAAGAAAAAAAGAGTTAAATTGGATTTCATTAAAATTAAAACATTTGTTCATCAGAGAATACCGCCAGCAAAGGAAGAAAGACAACCCACAAAACGGGAGAAGATATTTGCAAATCATATTTCTGACAAGGGAGCCCTGGTAATGTCATAACACAACCCATTACTCACGAGTTTGTGGTGATACCGGAATAAACAAGCCTAGCGTGCTGGTGGTCATATAAAAGTTGAGCACATACAATTACGTATAGTATATAATGCTTGCTAATGATTAGAAATGACTGCGTTATGGTTTATGTATGTACTATACTATACTTTTTATTGTTATATTAGAGTATACTTCTACTTACTATAAAAATGTAACTGTAGGACAGTCTCCAGCAGGTCCTTCAGAAGAAGGCGTTGCTATCACAGGAGACGTCAGCTCCATGTGTGTTACAGCCCCTGAAGACCTTCCAGTGGGACAAGATGTGGAGGTGGAAGATGGCGACATTGAGAACCCTGACCCTGTGTAGACACAGGCTAATGTCGTGTTTGCGTGTTTTTTAAAATTTTGAGACGTAGTCTTGTTCTTGTTGCCCAGGCTGGAGTGCAATGGCGTGATCTCGGCCACAACCTCTGCCTCCTGAATTCAAGTGATTCTCCTGCCTCTGCCTCCCGAGTAGCTGGGATTACAGGCATGCACCACCACACCTGGCTAATTTTGTATTTGTAGTAGAGATGGGATTTCTCCATGTTGGCCAGGCTGGCCTCGAACTCCTGACCTCAGGTGATTCACCAGCCTCGGCCTCCCAAAGTGCTGGGGTTACAAGCATGAACCGCCATGCCCGGCCCTGTGTCTTATTTTTTAGCAAAAATATTTACAAAGTAAAAAAAAAAATTGAAAATAGAAAATTGTACAATAAGGATACAAGGAAAGAATATTTTTGTACAGTTGTACAGTTTGTGTTTTAAGCTCACCGTTATTACAAAGGAGTCCAAAAGTCAACAAAAATTAAGAAGGTTATAAAGTAAAAAGGTTACAGTAAGTTCAGGTTAATTTATCATTTCAGAAAGAAAATTCTATAAAGAGCCTAGCCTAAGTGTACAGTGTTCATAAAATCTACAGTGCTGCCCAGTCGTGCCTTAGACCTTCCCGTTCCCTCTCCACTCACTCACTGCTCGCCCAGAGCAACTTCCAGTCCTGCAAGCTCTATTCGTGGTAAGTGTCCTATAAAGGTATAATATTTTTTATTTTTTATGCCATTTTCTTATCATACCTTTTCTGTAATTAGGTAAGTTTAGATGCGTAAATACTTACCATTGTCTTGAAGTCTCTTACGGTGTTCAGTACAGTCACGTGCTGTACAGGTGTGAAGCCTCGAACCAATAGGTTCTACCACACAGCCCAGGTGGCCAGTAGGTTGTCCCATTGGGTTTGTGTAAGGACACTCTTTGATGTGTACACATGAAGAAAATTGCCTAATGACACATTTCTCAGAATGCAACTCTGTCATTAAGCAACTGATGTGAAATGTCAGAATAGGTCAATCCACAGAGATTGTCTGAAGATGGAGTCGGAGAAGGGTAAGCAGGAATCAGGAAGACTGCTATAGCACGGGGTTTCTTCCCCACTTCCTACCCCCTTTTTCAATAGAGACAGGGTCTTGCTCTGTCGCCCAGGCTGGAGTGTAGTGGCATGATCATGGCTCACTGCAGCCTCCAACTCTGGGGATTCTCCCACCTCAGCCTCCCAGGTGCATGCTACCACATCTAGCTAATTAAAAACATTTTTTTAGAGACAAGTTCTCACTATGTTGCCCAGGCATGCAGAGGGTTGCTTTTGGGGACATTGAAAATTCTCTACAATTAGATTGTGTTGAAGTAATTCAGTGTATCTTTGAATGAGTTTAAGTGTCAGTCAAGTATAGTTGTCTTATTCATATTAGATTTTTGGTGTGTTTGAAGACAAACATTGCGTTGGAGATCATCTGGTCGCTTTCTGAGCAGAAGGCCATGGATTGAGGGGAGCCATCCACTCTGCTGAACGCCTAAGAAGATGGGGACTGAGAGCAGAGTGCTGGTGATGGAGGAGCATTGGAGATTATTCACATGCAAAAATCCTTCCCCCTTGGAATTGTCTCCAGTTCCTTCACCTCTTGGTGTAGGTACAGAGAGCAGAGGCAAGGAGAGCTTTTTTTTTTTGAAAGAAAGAAAGAGAAAGAGAAAGGGGGAGAGAGAACAGGAGTCTTGCTCTATTGCCCAGGCTGGAATGCAATCTAAAAATAGGTATTAAAAACCTCTATTATGCCGATAATTGTGCTTAACAGCGGAGACAGGAAGGAATAAAGGAAGAAAATAACAGGCAAACAGCCAACCAATATTTCATTTAAGTCCGTGAAATGCCATGCAAGTGCTGAAGAGTGATTTACTTCCAATTATGTGGTCACTTTCAAAATAGGTGTAATATGATACTGAGAAAAATGTATGTTCTGTGGACCTGGGGTGAAGAATTCTATAAATATTCACTGTTTACGTGTTCCAGGTCTGAGTTCAAATCATAGATGTCCCTGTTAATTTTCTATCTCATTGATCCGTCGAATATGAACAATGTGGTGTCAAAGTCTCCCGCTACCATTGTGCGGGAGTCCAAGTCTCTGTATAAGTCATTAAGAACTTGTCTTATGTATCTGGGTATTCCTATATTGGGTGCATATATATTTATGATCATTGACTCCTGTTGTTGCATTGATCCTTTTACCATTATGTCATGTCCTTCTTTGTTTCTTTTAGTCTTTGTTACTATTAAAGTCTATTTTGTCAGAGACGAAAGTTACAACTCCTCTTTTTTTTTTTTTTCTCTCTGCATTTGATTGGTAAGTCTTCCACCAACCCTTTGTTTTGAGTCTTTGTGTGGCCTGCTTATGAGATGGATCTGGATACAGCGAACAGATGGGTTTTGACTTTTTATTCAATTTGTGTGTCTGTGTCTTTGATTGGGACATTTAATCCATTTAAATTTAGGATTAATATTGATATTTGTGAGTTAATATTGTTGTTTAATGCTAGCTGGCTATTTTGCCCATTAGTTGATATAGATTCTTCATTATGGAGATACTCTTTACCTTTTGGTAAATTTTTGGGATGATTGATACTGGTTGTTCCTTTCTGTGTATAGTGCTTCTTTCAGAAGCTCTTGTAAAGCAGGCCCAGTGGTGATGAAATCTTTGAGTGCTTGCTTGTTCGTGAAAAATTTTATTTTTCCTTATTTATGAAGCTTAATTTGGCTGGATATGAGATTCTGGGTTGAAAATTCTTTTCTTTGAGGATGTTGAATATTGACCCCCCACTCTCTTCTGGCTTGTAGGGTTACAGCTGAGAGATCTGCTATGAGTCTCATAGGCTTCCCTTTGTGAGTAACCTGACCTTTCTGTCTGGCTGCCCTTAGAATTTTCTCCTTTATTTCAACCCCGGTGAACCTAACGATTATGTATCTTGGGGTTGCTCTACTTGAGGAATATCTTTGTGGTGTTCTCTGTATTACCTGAAGTTGAGTATTTTCCTGCCTTAGTAGGTTAGGAAAGTTTTCCTGAATAATATCCTGAAGAATATTTTCCAGCTTGGATTCATTCTCTTCATGACATTCAGGTACACCTATCAAACGTAAATTAGGTCTTTTCACATAGTCCCATATTTCTTGGAGACTTTGCTCATTCCTTTTTACTCTTTCTTCTCTAATCTTGTCTTCTGATTTCATTTCATTAAGTTGGTCTTCGACCTCTGATATCCTTTCTGCTGCTTGATCAATTCGACTGTTAAAACCTGTGCATACTTCGTGGAGTTCTTGTATTGTATGCTTCGGTTCCATTAATTCACTTATATTCCCCTCTAGATTGTCTGTTCTCGTTAGGATTTCGTCAAACCTTTTTTCGATGTTCTTAGTTTCTTTACATTGGGCTAGAACATGTTCTTTTAACTCACAGAAGCTTCTTATTACCCACCTTCTGAAGCCTAATTCTGTTAATGGAACACACTCGTTCTCCATCAGGCCTTGTTCCCTTGTTGATGAGGGACTGTGATCCCCTGTAGAGGGAGAGGCATTCTGATTTTGGGTATTCTCAGCCTTTTTACGCTGGTTTCTTCCCATCATTGTAAATTTGTCCACCTGTCGTCTTTGTAATTACCGACTTTCAAATTAGGCCTCTGAGTGGACGTCCAACTTGTTGATTCCCAGCTCCGGAATCTGAGCAACCCACTGCTCCGGTCAAAACAGCGGCATTAAGATTCGTAGTGCTTTTCTGCCTGGGAATCTCCTGTCTGGCTTCCTTCTTGAGTCCCTTTTTCAATCAGCTGAATAGGCGACTCTGCCTTCCGGGAGCTCCAAACTTCCACCAAAAGGGGACCCAGTCCCATTTACTCTGCACCAAGAACCGCCGCTCTGGGGCGGCAGCAAAACCACCTCCTGGCCACAAGAGTCACGGTGGCGACCCGTGGGGCTCCTCCGCCAGGAATCTTCTGGTCCATGAGCAACAAACATTCATCTGAAAGTGTGGCGTCCTCTCATTCTCTGCGATTTCAGTGGGAGCTACAATCCCGAGCTCTAGTGATCAACCATCTTGGATCTCTCTCCGCAAGGAGAGCTTTGAGGAGGCAGCCGCTCATCATGGTGAGCAGCACACACGCTCTTGCTAGGACAGAAATTTGCTATCTATGTTTTGGTTCCCAATATCCTTGCCAATAAAATCTTTGTCTCTGGTACTCTTAGCTGTAACAGCATGCTGGACTAATAGGTTCAGGGAGTAGTCTGCTATGACAAATACTTGTGCACCTACTGTGTGCCAGAGTATATTCTAGGTTCTGTGGATTTGTGATCTGGTTTGATAATAAATTTTATTTTAATAAATTGTATTTTTAAAAATTGTATGTATTTAAGGTGTATATGATATTTTGATATACTTATTACACATATTCACAGTGAAGTGATTATTACAGTTAGGCAAATTACCATCATATCATCTCATAGAGTTACCTTAGATAGTACAGTTTAGATTCAACACTGACTCATCCAAAAAAAGCATGTTTTGAGCATCCAGTTATTTTCATGAATTGTGCTAGGTTCCAACTGCTGATGAAAATTCATCAGTACAACTTCAAACAGAGGAATCATGTTTTAATAAATTGTGGAGTCAAATAAACATAGGTGAATGCACCTTTTACTAGGTGTGTGACTGGGCAAAATTATTGAGAGGACGGTTTTCTCAACTGTAGACAGAGTAGAGGGAGTGGAGAAATTAATATTGTAAAATTTTATTGCCGTAACATATCTCATTTAACACCCAGCTCAATGCCAGGAATACGTACTATAGTTCCCTTCTAATTTCCAGTTCACTCCCATGGATATAAATGATGATTTTTGTAGAAAAACACCCTAGTAACCTTGTAAACTGGCTTCTTTGCTTGAAGGTGAGAAAACTTGGGCTCTGGAAATGTCTTCTCTGAGGCTGTATAACTAGGTAATGGTGAGGTCAGCCCTGAAAGCCAGGCAACCCAATTCTTAGTTCGATGCTTACCTGCACATCGTGGTAACTTATGAAATTAGTTTGTCTTATGTCTCTGTAGTTTGCATTCCCTCAAAGCGTTTAGCATCATTTTTAAACCTGGAGCGTTCACTGTAGGTGGTCAGAATATTTTTTAAAATGCCTCCCCAAACTTAGGCCAATTTAGTCTCAGGAAATCCCTACCTTTACCACTTCTCTGTCGCAAGAATTGTTCATTTATTCTTCGTTTTTTGTCTTCAGTCAGTTCTCCATCCCCAACAGATTATTTACCTAATTTTCGAAGTAACTCAGTAGCTTTACTGAAGGTTTGGTGGTTGGAATGTTTACTCAAGGGGGCAGGGTCACTTGTCAACAGAAGACCTCCTGGGCCGAGGTGGAGGGTCCCCAGGAGCAGGGGAGGCTGTGCTTGCCTTCTGCAGGGCACCAGGCACCCTGGAGGCTGTGCCCTGCCTGAGCCCCACACAAGGCTGCTCTTGGTCAAGGCCTCTGGTTCCACAGCTCCCAGGCTCTGTCCATTCCCCGCCCAAGAGTAGACCAGGGCAAGCTCCTGCCAATGGGCAGTGAAAAGGCTTCTTGCTTGAATGAGGTGGGGGAAAGAAAAGGATAAAATAGAGGATTAAAATTGCACGCAACTTAGTATCTCAATGTATTACACAGCCACCCATACATAACACGTTTAGGTATGTAATAAAACCTGAGGCCCATGGCTGGGTAACTATTGCAACGCAATACGTCCTGTTGAGTATGTGTCTTTCTTTCAGAAAACTGGAAGAGAATGAGTTTCGCTCACTGCTGCAGAGTTCAGGCCCCAGAGAAGAGCGTTTGGAGCAGAGGGAATAAAAGAGAGAACCATCGCACCCAGCTGTTGACAGAGTGGGGGGTTCTTTGCGTGACTGTGGCCGACATCTGGGGACTGCCCTGAAAGGATGAAAATCTCCTCCCAGGTGAACATCAGACGGATCCGGGGCTCTGCGAGGGCCCAAGACGACTTGCTCACACTGTTGAGACCTTGTAAGGCTGTGAAGGACTCTGGACGGCCGAGCTGCGGGGACGGCGCGCGGGGGCCGGGTGGAACCTGATGGTCCGCGTGGAACCCGATGGCCAGTGTGGAACCCGATGGCCCGCGTGGAACCCGATGGCCCTCGTGGAACCCGATGGCTCCCAGGCCCCGAGCCGCGCACCTCCGCGGACGGCTCCCCACGGCCCGGCCCGGCAGCGCGGAGCCACGAGGACGGCGTCCACGCGCGGCAGGAAGCCTCGGCTCTCGCGTCTGACCTCACGCCTGCCCTCCTCGCAGGTGGGAATGTCCGTGTCCTGCGTGGGCGGCGGAGCCGGAGCGGACCCCGGCCTCTGAGTCCTGCCCGCACCCCCTTTCAGGTGCCAGGGTTTCCCTGCCTTTGCTGCACATCAGAACCCCTGGGGCCTTTGAAATACTGCGAATGCCACGGCCCCAACCCAGCGCCGGGAAACCAGCATCTGCGGAGGGGCTGAGGGCGGACGTGGAAGGTGTAAAGTTCCCGGGTGCTCTCCGTGCTGCGGCCGCGCTCTCCCCGGCCCCCACCCGCCACCGCCTATCGCGGGAGCTGACGGTCTCTGGAGGTGTCATTTGGGGGGCTGTAGTGGGTTGAGTGGCGGCTCTCCGAAAGACACGTCCATATCCCGGAACCTGATTTGTAAAGAGGGTTTTTGAGGATTAAATTAGGTAAAGATTTTTGAGAGGAGATCATTTGAGAGGAGATCTAAGGCTGAGCCCTAGATCCAATGACACATATCTCTGTAAGAGACACGGGGGCGGGGTGCCGGGGGCGTGGAGAGGAGAAGGCCATGTGCAGAGAGGCAGGCAGAGATTCCAAGCAATGCCCAGAGCTACCCACAGCTGGGGGGGGGGGGCAGGAGGGGTTCTCTTCTAGAGCCTTCTGGGGGAGTGTGGCCCTGCTGACACCTCGATCTTGGACTTACGGCCTGCCGAGCTGTGAGAGGGTCCATTTCTGTTGTTTAGTCCACCTGGTCTATGGTCATTGGTGGTCTGTGGTCATTGGTGGTCTGTGGTCACTGGTGGTCTGGGGTCATTGGTTGTGGCGCCGGCGGAAGCTGGTAGAGACACCCTGTCAATTTGCTGTTTTCTGCTTGGTTGTATCTAGGGCTGAAAGCCATCCAGTGCAACATGATTCCTTTGGATTCACTTAAGGAAGTCACCAAAGCTAGCCTTTTCTTCTTATATTTAGAGCATCTGGAGCCGTCCCCTAAAGCAAAGCCTCCCTCTTTTCCCCTCCCTTCCAGCCTTCTCTTCTCTATCCAGACTCAACAGCACCCAACAAAAACACCCCAGAAGGCTCACATCCTAGATTTGAAAAATAATTTTGCAGGTTTTGATTTTTTCATATCATTTTTTAAAAACGAGCAAAATGTATGCCTTGCACAATGACTTGTAGGTAATTGAAATAATCTAGAAGAATAAACTTTGCCTTCACCCCCTGCTGCTTCCATCCCACTTCCTATGCCCATGGTAACTGCTGATGACCAAGACACTCTGGTGAACATCCTTCTAATCCTTTCTCTAGAAGGATGATTTCCAAGTGACGATGGACTCAGACATACAGGAAATGTAAGCTCTGACTCAGGTGGAAACAGAACTGGGCTTGTTGAAGCAGCCATGGGTGGAATGCTTGGAATCCACTGACGATTCCTCCTACAATTTCTCGAAGAAACCCACAAACTACAAGGAACAAAGACAAGTTGAAAACCACTATCTTAGCCCTCCTGGGGCTCTGGCCTTGGCAACCAAGGTTAATGCTATGGTTTGAATGTTCATGTCGTCTCCAAAATTCATGTTGAAACAATCCCCAAAGCAACAGTAGTAAGAGGTGGAGTCTTTAGGAGGTGGCCAGGCCGTGAGGGCTGCCCTCAGGGTTGGGGTTAGTGCCTTGTGACAGGGCTGCAGGGAGTTATCAAGGTCTTTTGTGCTTCTGTCTCCTGTTGTAGGAGGACCCAGCAACAAGGCACCACCTTGGAGGCAGGAACTGCTGTCACAGACACCTGCTCTGCTGGTGCCTTGATCTTGGGCTTCCAGCCTCCAGAGTGTGAGCAACACATTTCTGTTCTTTATAAATCACGGAGTGTGTGGCATTTCGTTACAGCAGCCCAAATGGATTAAGGCAGCCGGGATGAGGGCAAGGCATGTGTATGAAAACGTAAGAAGGTGCTCATTTGCAGAGCTTAGGAGCTCTTCAGGTTGGATGGTGAAGACCCAAACGTGGGCGGAGGAGGGGTCATGGCTCTCTCTCTTTGAGGCTTCCGGGTATTTCGGAAGGAAGAAACAGCTGTAATGGTTATTTCCCGCTACATACACCAGGAACTCTGCTGGAAAGCCTGCAATACCTCCCTATGTCCCCTACAGTGAAAGCCAGAGTCCCTGCTGGCCACACAGGATTCGCCCTTCACGCCACCCCAGAGACTCTTCCTCCCCAGTCACATCCCCTGTCACTATTCCCTCCACCCACCCTACTCCAGTCCCTGGCCTCCCTCCTGTCCCTCAGACACGCCAAGCTCAGCAGCCCCAGCAGCTGTGCATTCACTGTTCCATCTACCTGGAGTGCTCTTCCCCAGTATCCAGGCTCCTCCCTTCCTGCACACCTCTGCTCACATGCCCCTGATCTGAGCTTCCCCAGCCACCCTACGCAAGCGGCGCCTGCCCCACCCACCACATGCTGTCCCCTGCTCCCTTCACTTCGCCAGCACTGAGTATCACCTGACTTTCCAGCCACAGGCAGACAGACCAACTGTACCACAGCTTTTGAGAGAAATGATATAAAAACAAGTCAGCTGCTTTCTCCCACTGACTGCACTGTGGAGATGTCACTGAGTACCCGGTCTGCTCTGCCCCAGGCTTCCTTCTCCCCTCTGGCTTCCAGAAAGTTGGGGACCAAATTTGAGGGTGAACTCTAACAGCTCTGTAGGACTTTAATGCCTTTCTCTTTGGCTGTAATTTTTCAGACTTACTCACATTCCCCCACCCTCATTGATTGTGCCTGTTGTGTTATGTTATGCTGTGGAGTTTGCTCTTTTTGCAACCCAAGGAAGAGGCAGGAGAGAAGTAAGGGGCTTGTTGAGGGCTCAAATGAATACACACACATGGAGAAGGCCGCAGTCCCTGATTGCCTATATTTCTGGGACAAGCTGCCAGGACTTTTGGCCCAGCGGGCACAGTTGGAAATTTAATATTGCCTGGGACAGATTTTAAAAAGATGGTTGAGTACACGGAGTTCAGTCAAGTACTGAGGTCAAGTTTTTGCTCATGTCGTCTTACGTAAAAGATAGTATGGAAAAGAACATGTATCCATAGGCCTACAGAATTTTTGAGCTGAAAGAAACTGTTGGTACATCCAAATACTTCCTTACAGAAATGAGGAAAACTGAAGACCAAGCACATTGCCTAAGGCCCAGAACGACTTATTGGCAGAGACAATGGGATGAAAATCTTTTTCTGTCTCCTCCCAGCTCTTTCCATACCACCCACAACGCTCCGTTCTTCCCATTTTGTGTATTGAACTTTTTCATTTGAGATCCTTGGGAAGTGTGTTAAGAGGTTATGTCTGCATATGCATAATTCCCCCCCCGCCCCAGACTTTCCACATTCAATAAGCTGATGGAAGCAAAGTCCCCCTCATCGCTTTCCTCCGAGCTCACCCTGGATTTAATGCTAGGGATTAGGAGCACGCTTGTGCCAGCCTGCTCCCTGCTCGGCCTGCCTGCGCTGGAGGGCTGCTGGCGGGAGGTGGATGTCAAAACACAGAAGGCGCTTGTTGGAAACAATAGGACTCGGGAAGTGTGGGGCCGGGGATTGGCGCGTGGGGAATACCAGGTGGCAGGTGGGATCATCAGACTAGGGGGTTTTCAGGGAAAGCTGCCTGTTGGGTCCAGGAAAAGAAAAACACAGGGATTCCAGATGTTCCTGAAACATGTCTGGTTTTAGTCAATATTGTAGAAATCCTTAGCATAGGTTCTCAAAAATCCAGAACATCTGAGGAGGAGCGCAGACTGGAATCAAAAAGAAGACTCTGCTGTATGCAAATCTCAGAGGTCTCCAAGGGGTGTTAAACACAACACAATGCAACGCAACACAACCACACAACACGACATCACACAGCACAACACAACCGCACAACACCATGCAGTGTAACACAACCCAGGCTTCTCTGGCTAGTAGTGAGGGATTAGGGCCTGTCTTTAGGAGGAAAGTCCTTCTGATGAATGGGTGTATTTGGCTAGTTCTGGCTGAGCGGTTTTCAATGGCAACTTCAGCCTGGAGTGCTGCGGAGCTGAGCTGTAGTTCCTGGCGTCACAGCTGCATTAGTCCTGGTCAGCCAAGCCCAGAGCCCCACGGGGGAAGGCCTCCTTGAAGTTTGGAGCTCAGGAGCTGTCCAGAGAAAAAGCTCAGCAAAATAGACTGTCGGAAATGCAAGGAACTGTTGGGTCTGTGCGTCCCACACTCTTGCATTTTGCGGATATATTACCCCAGAAAACCGGAGCCTGTTCAGCAGCAGCTCAGCTGTGCCGGACGTGAGTGCTCCCGGATTGAATGCCCACATCAGGACGAGGCTTGGTTTTCTATATTGCAAAATAATGGCCTTTAACACATGACATATCACCGACAATGAACCCAATGGTGGACATACGGCTGCTCTTTCCAAAGCTAAGGAAAGTGATCGAATGAGTTGTGAAAATATGCCGGGGTCAGTTTTCCTATGAGACACACAGCTCTGACCTTAGAGACACTGTGATGCAATTCCCAGCTTCACCCTCGCTTTGTCTCAGAGTTGATTTAAACCCCTGCTGGGTTGTGAGATGTTCCTAACATCTTGCTTCTCTTTGTATCTGCTTCTACCAATGGGGGCCTTGCCTGGATCAAACGGTCTGAGCTGATCAGTCCAGGGCAATAAATTCCAAATGAGGGCAAACGTTTTGGCTGTCCCTTAAAACTCTTTCCAGCCATGAGGTTGTCAGTTATGATTTCTGCAAGCCTCACCCACTCCATCTGAAGCTCTCAAGTTCATTGTTGAAGGGTAGCTTCCTAGGCCCATTGGATCAGACTATCCTGGGCATGGACCCAAGAACTGGTATTTTCAACATGTGACTCTTATACATATTTAGTTTATTTAAAGCAGCTATTTACCAGAAAATGAACATGCATGTAGCTATGACCCTTGTCAAGAAACAGAACTTTATCAATGGCAGAGATCCCTTGGTGCCCAGCCTCCCCAAGGGTAACTATCATCTTGAGTTTGCGAAGTTGCTTCAATGCCTTTCCTGAGAGGGGATGTGTTAAAATTTAGTGATTCCTTTAAACATGTATCCCTCGACATCATAGTAGGGTTTTGTCTGTTTTTCTGAGTTCTATATAAATCGAGTTATGCAGCATGAAGCTTGGCATTGGGCTTTTTTTTTTTTTTTTGCTTCCTTACCATTAGGTTTGTGAAATTCATTCATGTTTCTTCCTGTAGTTGTATTACATTGTATGAATAAGCCACAGTTTATTCGTCTATTTCGTTGATGGACACTGGGCTCTCCTTTCCAGTTGGGGCTGTTGTGAATGATGCTACCCTCGACATTCCTTTCGATCACATTTCTCTTGGTCACACCTAAGAGTGAGACTGCTGGGTGAGCTTCTCTTCAACATTTGTAGAGAATGCAAACTGCTTTACGAACTGGTCACTGGAAGTACAATTTTAAGGATCTATATCTCTGCAGCCTGGTGGGTGGAGGCAACCTATCAGCTGTATACGTAATTCGTGTCATGCCCCCGTCCCCGCCCCAATTTGGAAGGTACTGGCCAGATTTGTTTTCACCTGGAGTTCTGTTGATCAATTTAATCCCCACTTTGTTGGTTATTGCTAAATCCTCCTGAATTAATATCCTCAGTGACTCTTTTTTTTTTTTTTTCCTGAGACAGGGTCTTGCTCTGTCACCCAGACTGGAGTGCAGTGGAGCAATCATAGCTCACTGCGGCCTCAAGCTCCCAGGCTCAAGCGATCCTCCTGCCTCAGCCTCCTGTGTAGGGAGAGCTAAAGGCAAGTGTCACCATGCTTGCCTAATTTTTAATTTTTTTGTCAACACAGGGTCTCCCTATGTTGCCCAGGCTGCTCACTGGGCAACACTGTCTCTTGATCTATCCAGAAAATAAAATGGATATGCATAGGAAGCCACTACGTGCCAGGCCCAGTGCGAGGTGCTGGAAACACAACAGCCAACGAGACGGGGAAGAGCTTGGCCTGTGTGACGCTCTCAGTCTGCTGGGAGACAGGCACATAAACAAGACCAAATATGTAATTATAAATGGTGAGACGCTCTGTGTAGGAAGAGAGCATGAGGGGCCGTGGGGAGAGAGATGGCACCGTTTAGATCCAAAGATGTGGTGGGAGTGGGAGAAAGCCTAGTTTGAAAAGTGACAGCTAAGCTCAGACCTGAGCGCCTCCGGTGAGGAGCTGGGCGAAGGATGTTGCTGGTAGCAAGATATTCTCTTGTTCAGCCTCCAAGGTACAGAGGAGCTGGGTACATGGGAGGAGCATGGGGGAGGTGAGGCTGGCAAGGCAGGTGGGACCTGGCGTGGGTCTGGTTGGCCGTGGGGAGGCCACAGAGTGGTGGGTGTGGTTTGCGGCACAGGGCTGAAGGATAGCTCTGGCTGCTGTGAGCAGAAGGAGTTGTACGAGGCCAAGTGAGGAAACAGGGGCCGATGAGAAGCCGCTGCAGTCCTCAGGCAGGAGACCGTGTTCAGCGGGACTGGATGCTGCCCGTAGACTTGGGAGGACAGAGATGAATTTGGGGAACGGGCATGTTGGAGCTGGAACAGACAAACCTGGCTGTGGATCAGATATGAGGCGTGGGGGAGGGACAGGTGTGAAGAGTGCTCCCAGGCTTCTGGCTTGAGTGACTGGGTGAAGGGAGCTGTCATTGACAAAGACGGGAAACCTCTTCTCTGGACGCCAGGTCCCTCTGACAGCACTTAAAGTCCACTCTTCCTCGTTCTCCAGTCGTCCAGTGTCTCTCTACAGTCAGCCTCAACATAAAAGTCACTTCCTGGTTTTTGTTAACAAACTTTCTTGTGTCCTCTTCCACTGTTATGACTTATTCACTGAGTGGCCATCTGTAGGCTTACAGTTTTAATAAGAGCATGTCGGTCATAGTTTTCATGTGTAAATTAGTGAGAGTTCTTATTACTCTATAAACCTACAGACCCAGCTAGTGGATGGCGATGTGGCTCTCAGATCAAATGCAATCGAAATGCAATTGTTTTACAATGATCTTTTGAGGAGAACAGTTGGAAACATTGAAATAGTAAGTCAAAACCTGCTAAGAATTCTGAATTCAGAAATGTAAAAGAAGTGACAGGAAATAAAAACCCACTTCAGCTATTTATTTTCACTAAGGAACTGGATTATACAATATTTTCCTTTCAAATTTTTCTTAA